TAGGGTTAAAGCTGCTGGGATCACAGCTCCCTGGCAGCCAGTGCTTTCTTAAACCTGTCTTGGAAGGTGGGTGATTTCAGGTCAGAGGAAGAAGACAGTGAAATGTGCTCTGAGTAGGGATGGTTATGCAAGATTCAAGGAGGAGAAGGAAGCTGAGAGAGGAGCTGGTGAGTCAGAGGAAAAAAGCTGCACAACTTGGCTGGCAGAGCCTTCAGAGTGGTGGAGAAGCCCAAGCCGTTAACAAGGTAAGAAGAAAATTTCCCGTGTACACCTCCAGAGCAGGGCCATTATTCCTAGGTCCTTGGAGTGGAGTTTCAGATAACATGGGGCAACTAAGCCAGGCATTTCTTTGTGAATGGCAGATAGGAGGTGTTGGAGAGGGGCTGGATCAGAATCACCTGGATAATCTTCCCCAAAAGCACAAGTTGCCTGCCAGCAGCTCTCCTAACCCCACCCACCCCCATCCCTAAGAAAGAGCCTAGAAAGTGAGTGGGGCTATTCTGATGTATACTTTACAGCTGGTTCGTCTTACTTATTCCAATGCTGACTTCTGTGTTTCCTGTAGCTTCTCCTCTGCTCAGGTGCTGGGAAGTGAGGACCAGAGGTGCTAGGAGCTACAGATTTTCTCTAGCTCAGCTGAGATTTAGTGTGATAACTGAATTCTCAGATCTGGAACACAAAATATCCGGGTCTAATCAGGCGGGGCTATTTTTATCACTGAGAATTAAAGTTCACTTATTCGGAAATATGGATGTGTGGCTCATCACTGTTCTACGTGATGTACTTAATTGGAGTGTTGTCATTACTGTGGCTAGAAGGGCTTTCAAAGTTGTGGAGCTCCATTCCAATGTAAAATAAGATTAAATTATGAGGCCAGTGAGTTAGCCAAGGTAGAAGAGACTTCTGTCTTGTAAGGCTGCGGACGAGTCTGGAACTTCTAACTGGAAGTAAAATACCTTTTTTTTAAAAAAAAAAAAATTATTTATTTTGGGTCTTCTGGCTACTCGCTAGTTGTGGCGCTTAGGCTTCTCACTGTGGTGGCTTCTCTTGTGGCAGAGCACGGGCTCTAGGGGCACGGGCTTCAGCAGTTGAGACACAGGGTCTCATCAGTCACGGCTCATGGGCTCTAGAGCACAGGTTCGGTAGCTGCAGCACCGTGGCTTAGTTGCTCTAATGCCTACGGGATCTTCCCAGATCAGGGGATCCAACCCGTGTCTCCTGCATTGGCGGGTGGATTCTTTACCACTGGGCCATCAAGGAAGCCCCATGTGGACTGTTTTTAAAGTCTTTATTGAATGTGTTACAACACTGCTTCTGTGTTATGTTTTGGTTTTCTGGCCACAAGGCATATTGGATCTTAGCTGCCCGACCAGGGATCAAACCTGACCCCCTGCCTAGGAAGGCAAAGTCTTTACCACAGGACTGCCAAGCAAGTCCCAATATAGTGTTTATTTTTTCTTTTATTTATTTATTTTTGGTTTCACTGGGTCTTTGTTGCTGCACTTGGGCTTTATCTACTTGAGCAAATGGGGGCTACTCTTTGTTGTGGTACTCAGGCTTCCTCATTGCAGTGGCTTCTTTTGACGCAAAGCACAGGCTCTAGGCATGCTGGCTTCAGTAGTTGAGGCACACAGGCTTGGTTGCTCTGCAGCATGTGGAATCTTCCCAGATCAGGGGTCAAACCCATGTCCTGTGAATTGACAGGCTGATTCTCATCCACTGTACCACCAGGAAAGACTCCAATATGTTTTCAAATGACATTTTTTGGAAGGAGATGATAGGTTGTGCTGAGTGTTTTTTTCCTTCTATTTTCTTCTCTTACTAATGAACCCAGGGAAGTTCTGTGAGTAGTCTACTGCCCTTCGATGGGGCTTTAATTTCTTATTAATAAATATTTTTTAATGATGCTTGTGGTTTTTACCCCCTTAGTTCTAAATAATACATGTTCTGTATAGAACCTATTTTTTTGGAGTCAGGTTCACTGTGCCATATTGCTTCTAAACTAAGGTTCTGACTTAACATCTTGCTCCATGCAGTTGAGATAGTATTGGTTCTGTGCTCAATATTCAATAAAATCATCTAAATTTTAGTAACTAACATGCATTTGATCCCTGGGTCAGGAAGATCCTCTGGAGGAGAAAATGACAACCCACTCCAGTGTCCTTGCCTGGAGAATCCCATGGACAGTGGAGCCTGGCGGGCTACAGTCCATGGGGGCGCAAAGAGTGGACATGACTGAAGTGACTCAGCATGTTTGCACACATGCCACTTCTCACACTCATTTATTATTTGTTCAACAAGTGTTTAATGAGCCCTAATCAGCTGTGTGTTTTATGTGCCAGTAAACAAGATAAGACATAGCATTTACCTTTAAGTTAATAGCAGCCCAGTGAGAGATATTCATCCTCCACTGCACTACAGGTGCTTCCCCTGTGGCTCAGCTGGTAAAGAATCTGCCTGCAATGTGGGAGACCTGGGTTCAATCCCTAGGTTAGGAAGATCCCCTGGAGGAGAAAAAGGCTACCCACTCCAGTATTCTGCCCTAGAGAATTCCATGGACTCTATAGCCCATGGGGTCGCAAAGAGTCGGACATGACTGAGCAACTTTCACTTCACTTAACTGTACTACAGAGAAAGAGAGAGAGGGATGGGAATGGAAAGTTCAGGGGAAAACTAAATCTTGGGAGGAAATAAGATACCTTTCAGGGAGAAAGCTGAGAGGTGGGCAGAATCTTGAGGAAAGAGTGGTTGTCTTGCAAATGTCTCAGAGCTTGTAAACAATGGGACAGGGGCTTCCTGGGTGGCTCAGTGGTAAAGAATCCACCTGCCAATGCAGGAGACACGGGGTTCCATCCCTGGTCTGGGAAGATCCCACTTGCTGCGGAGCAACTAAGTCCATGTGCCAAAACTACTAAGCCAGTGCTTTAAAATCCAGGGAGCCACAACTACAGAAGCCCATCAGCCCTAGAGCCCATGCTCCACAACAAGAGAAGCCACCACAATAAGAAACCTGTGCACCACAATTAGAGAGTAGCTTCTACTCACTGCAACTAAAGAAAAAGCCCTCGCAGCAACGAAGACCCAGCACAGCCAAAGATAAATTAAACTACTAACAATAAATAACAGGGTAAGTTGGAAGAACTGGAAGTAAAATCCAGAACCTAAGGTGTCAGAAAGGAAAGGGAGTGACAGGAGATCTAAGATCAAATTATGCAGGGCCCCCAAACATGAGAAATGGGGATTTAATCCTATATGTGTCAGAAAGCTATTGAAGGACTTTAAGGAAGGGAGCGACAGGCTTGTGCTTTAAAAAGATAGATTTTGGTAGCAGTGAATGAGGTGGAGAGCTGAGGGAGAGAACTGAGAGACAGAAGTGAGAGGTTACTTACTATAAAAGCCAGGCTAGAGATGAGCAGACTCAGGATTAGATAACAGGGAGGGAAGGGTTCAAGCATGCATCAAATAGCCAGAAAACAACACTCAGGAAGGTGCACTAGGGACCTCTCATACATGCTTCCCAACCTCAAGGAGGGTCTACAGTGGAGGTTAGTGTAGGAGAGCTGAGGAGGGGTGATGGTTAGATGAGAGGAGATTGCCATGAAAAGCCTTCAGTTTCCTGTTCTTTCTGGGCCGCCTCTACACTGATTTCAGTGACTGCAGAGATGATCTTTCCCTGAGACACACCTTCAAGGGTCTCTGGTTGAGCTCATCAGCCCCATTATGGGTTGCTTAGATCCAGGTTGTATCCAGATCCCAGTGACAAGAGATGGGATTCACTTACAAAAGCATACTTTCCTGCTGGCCAGGGAAATTGCTCATGGAAAGAAAAAACAGAGAAAGAAAGTCCCTGAAAACTGTGGCAAATTAAAGCCTGAGGACAACCAGGGACGAGTCTGAAGGCCAGGCTCCAGCTCTGGGTAAGAACGGGCATGAGGTCAGGAGCCACAGGCAGGCAAGGAGTGCTCAGAGCATGTAGCCCACTCTGGACCCTGAGCTGGTCCGAAGCCACATGGGGGCAGGAGGTGGACTTTTGAAAGGTCCATGTTACCAGTCTCTAGGAAATGTTAGCTTTTTCCTGAGCTGATTATAGGCCCTGCCTATAAAATTCTAGCCTTATATTTCTACACAGGTCAAGTTCTTTCCTTTCTCTTTCACTCCATTAATTCCTATCTTTGTTCCAAACTTTTCATCACACTCATATTATCTTTGGGAGAAGGTCAGTTCCTCAATACTTGGCTCAATTCTTGAGTCATTATCAAACATGGCTTAGTTTCTAATCATTTCCTCTTGGGCTCAAGTTCAAAAGAACTAGGTCCTGTTCTTCTTAGCTGGTCCTGCTCCAACCTTCAGGGCCAAGACAGGAATTACTATTCATTAACATGTTCCTGGCATATAACAATGTGCTTTTTTTGGCACCTGGGAGAGATGATCCTCACTGGATCTGTTGGCACATGTGGAGGAAATGCATTGTTGTCATGAATGGAAGAGAAAGGTTTCTGGGCCACTGCCACTTAACATTTGGTTGAGGTCATCACACACTTCCCAGAAGGTTCAGGGGACTTCCAAGGGAAGCCCACGGGCTAGCAAACCATGCTCTACCTCTTCAGGAAGCAAGCCATAAACTCCAAGAGTCACATCTTGGCTGTCCAATTCCTCCTCTAAAATCTGCTCCCTAAAATCTCTGGAGCTCTAGACACAGACAGTGGCTTATAACCAGTATGAAGCCTAACTGGACAACAGATACGAAAGGTACACATACCCATACTCGCTGACTCGGCAATTCCACTTCTTGGGAGTTAGCTTACATGCTTGGATAATGAGGTGTGAACATAAAGGTCATTACTGAAAGCTCTGAAATGGCCAAAGACTGGAAACAACCCCAAGCTCACCAATGAGGACACTGGTTAAATACTGATAAATTGTGGTACATCTGTACAATTCCATGTTGTGATAGCCTAAAATACCCCTCTGTTTGTTCTTCCATGGTCTATCACTTCAGCATGATACCACTCAAAAGAATGAAGCTCCTGCTGTTCCTGGCTTCCCAGATGGCCATTTTCATTCTGTTCATCCTTGTGTACTCCCACGACGACAACTCCCTGCAGGTGAAGGAGGAACCCAAGCCCCCACACATGCATGTGCTGGTCCTGTCTTCATGGCGCTCTGGCTCCTCTTTTGTAGGGCAGCTTTTTGGACAGCACCCAGATGTCTTCTACCTGATGGAGCCCGCCTGGCATGTGTGGATGACCTTCACACAAAGCACAGCCCAGAGGCTGCATATGGCTGTGCGGGACCTCATTCGGGCTGTCTTTCTGTGTGACATGAGCGTCTTTGATGCCTACATGAATCCTGGCCCCCGGAAACAGTCCAGCCTATTCCAGTGGGACGGTAGCCGGGCCCTGTGTTCCCCACCTGCCTGCAACCTCTTCCCGCGAGATAAGATCATACCCCAGGCCCACTGCAGGATTCTGTGCCACCAGCAGCCCTTCGAGGTGGTGGAGGAGGCCTGCCGCAGCTACAGCCACGTGGTGCTCAAGGAGGTGCGCTTCTTCAACCTGCAGGTGCTCTACCCGCTGCTGAGAGACCCTTCCCTCAACCTGCACATTGTGCACCTGGTCCGGGACCCCCGTGCAGTGTTCCGGTCCCGAGAACACACCACGAATGAACTTAAGATTGACAGCCACATTGTGATGGGGCAGCATCGGCAGAAACTCAAGAAGGAGGATCAACCTTACTATGCAATGCAAGTCATCTGCCAAAGCCAGCTGGAGATCTTCAAAGCCGTGCAGTCCTTGCCGAAAGCCCTAAGGCAGCGCTACCTGCTCGTGCGCTATGAGGACTTGGTCCGGGACCCCCTGGCCCAAACTGCCCGAATGTATGAATACGTAGGGCTGAAATTCTTGCCCCGGCTCCAGACCTGGGTACAGAATATCACTCGAGGCAAGGGCATGGGTAAGCACGCCTTCCACACAAATGCCAGGAATGCCCTCAATGTCTCTCAGGCCTGGCGCTGGTCCCTGCCTTATAAAAAGGTTTTTCGACTTCAGAAAGTCTGCAGGAATACCATGAACCTGCTGGGCTACCACCTTGTCACATCAGACCAAGAGCAGAAAAACCTGTCGCTGGATCTTCTGTCTACCTGGAGTCCCTACGAGCTGGTCTACCAAGAGGGTTAAGGAGGCTCCTTCTCCACCCAGCACCAGCTTCGGCCACGTTAACTGAAGGCTGTTTCTGAGCTTTGACAGTGTGTGTCAGTGTATGCGTGAGAATGGGTTTGCCCACATGTGTTCGAGAGATCTTTGTGTCTCTGCTCATTTCTAGAAAAGAGACTTGTGAACCTTATGTGAGAAGCACATACCAACCAACAAAACAGAAGTGATGCCCTTCTTCTCTTTTTGGGCTTCCGACCTGTGTATACCTCAGAGATTTTGTGGCCTGGGTCCTACATGGTACAAGCAATATCACTGGAGGAAACCCATAAACTCCTCTGTCCACATCTTGCCCAATGGGAAAGGAGAGAAACAGGAAAAAACAGGGAAATGGGTCTTCAGCCAAAGAGCCCACCAACACGTTCAGCAAGCATGTGAACTCTGAGCCCTCAGAGCTCCCAGTGGATTCAAAAAGAGAGCAGAGATCAGGGTTGGACACTTACCTGTGAGCCTGGCCATAACAATTGTCAATTATCACAAATATGGAAGAAAATCTCTGCACAACAGAGCAAGCTTTTAAGTTCATGGGGTGGCTGGACCCAATTTGGACATCAGTTCCCCACAGTGTTTTCCTATTTTAAGCTGTGAAATTGCCATCTATTAACATTAAAATTTCAAAATAAGATTCTGTTTGGAGTGTACCCTTTTATGCTTTCTAATTAGTTAGTAAATATTTGTTCTTATGGGATCTTAACTAACAGCTTAATCATCTTTATAGATTTCTTTTACTGGAATATTTTACTTTTTAAACTAAAAAAATTTTTTTTACTGAAATATAGTTGATTTACAATGTATTAATTTCAGGTGTACAGCACAGTGATTCAGTTTATATATATATATATATTTTCTCATATTTATAGATTCTTTATAAATACTTTTGCTATTATCTATCACCCACACATAGAACAAAATTGTTAAGACAATGTTTGGTTCAGATGATGAATTAAGTCTAACTTGGTCAATACTGATCTATACACTGCCCTCTCAAGAATTTGTAGAAAGCAGACAACCGCAGCTAAGCCCACTTGAATGTGAGATATAAGCTGTAATAATACAGGATGCATCACTCTAGGTTCTAGAGTTCTTTTAGTCTCATACCTCAGCCAGAGGACCTCAGTTATAACATAATTGGTGCCATTCAGCTCTTCCTGGTCACCTCCCTTAACAAGAAAGGTTGTTTCCTTCAGTCCTTGCAGGATTCCCCACATCGAGTTGTGTATCAGAATCACTCGTTAAAGATGTGTTTTGTCACGTCCGACTTCAGATCTGCTGAAGAGGCTGGGATTCTGTATGTTTATCACATGACTCTGTAGCTCTTCCACAGCCAGTCTGACAGTGGTACCCCCTGCCCTGGGCAGCAGCACTCTTTGCCTTCTTGCCCCAAGACAGATGACTTCTCCAGTGCCTGCCAAGTATCTAAGCACTTACTCATGACACAGGTGCTATCCTCAGGTTGGAAGGAATAGGAAGAAGGTCCCTGTGTATCTGAAACTCTGTGTCTGAGTCCTGACTCTATAAACATTTCTCTTTGTTCACAGCTGAGAGGTACAATCACTTCACCGTTCCTTTTGTTCCCACATCCACTTTTGGCATGGTCCTCACTTCATGAAGCTCCCTCCACGTCAGATGGGAATTTTCCCACTCCATTTTGCTCCTGGGCTGTGCCACCCCTGAGATGCTTGAGTAGATCCCTTGGCCATCTGGGTCTTTGAAGTTAATTTATATGGGTTTTAAAGGAGTGAATTTATTCTAATATCTAAACCCATGCCACCCTAGACCCTCCTCAAGAGCCTAGAATCTCTCAGGCATGTGCTTCTTGCCACTACAAACCTTTCAAAATTATAAAAAATTTCCCCAGCATTGAAAATAAGGCCACTGCAGTAGGTGATGGTGGAAACAGAGTGAAGACGTTCAGTGAGAGGAAGAGATAGTGATAGACTTGACCATCTCTGATTTTCCCTCTGAAATTCCAGCCTCTACACTGTCTTAAAGTTAGCAACTTCCTTAGGAACCATCTCTATGGAATGCCAGAGTACAGAGAAGCTTGCTTTTCCATCTCCAAAAGAGTCAGCCCATCTCCACACAAGGAGAGAGTGAAATCTCAGGATCTTATTTAAAATTAAGATCTACTTTAAAATAGTTTTAAGTTTCCTATATTCCAAGTCCTGATGTCAGATGAAGTCCATCTTCTTGAAGGACAGTCTTATACATGACCCTATATAGCAGAGGTCCCCAACCTCCAGGCCACAGACTGGTACATCCTATCAGATCAGCAGTAGCATTTGGTTAGAAATAAAGAGCACAATAAATGTAATGCACTTGACTCATCCCAAAACCATGCACCCCCACCCCAGTCCATGAAAATGTCTTCCATGAAATTGGTGCCAAAATCCCTGGTGCCGAAAAGTTTGAGGACCACTGCTATATTGGAGCCATTGGTGGCTGTTTAGATTTAAAGAAGTTAAAATGAAATTCAGTTCCTCAGTTGCATTAGCCACGTTTCAAGTACTTAACAGTGACGTGTGGCTAATGGCTACTGTACTGGACAGCATAGATATAGGTCATTTCCATCACTGTAAAAGTTCTATCAGATATCTCTGGTCTAAATTAATTTATATTTGTTTGCAGTATCATATTCTTAACCTCAAACCGCAACCCCGCCAAAAAAGTTTGGAGAATATAATATGGTAATGGCATTCTTATGTAAGAATGTGTAGTATAAAATCACACTATATTACCTCTAAAACTGTGACCCAGTGCTGAGCAATATTTAGAGAGCAATGGAATGTCTCCTACTGAAGTGTTCAGGAAGCTGGCACTGGAGTTCAGGGGTGCCAGGGGCAGTACACTCAATTATGAGACATGGGGAATTTGGGAAGCTGAGAACCCATGATGAGTACAGAGGACTGTGTTCTGCAGAAGAGCTTTACTACTCTGGAGGCATCTGTTCCAACCCTCCACCCCCCCAAACAGGGAGGCATTTGTTTGCTTGCCAAGCCTATTTGAGCTGCACAGGATCCAAAGATGAGTTTGAACACATATGACATTTGAATTTGATTTAAATTTCTTAGGGCTAGTAATCAGGCTTGGGGAATGAGCTATTTCATGTCTAGAGAAACATAATGGCCTGAAATGCCTAATTGCAGGAAAGCAATTGATGATTTTTATAAAAGAGACATACTGTCTCTTGACATACTGTCAAGTGCCCTAAGCCCACCACTTTGGGGAGAGAAGGGAGCCCCAAAATTTTGAATATGTGTTTGGAGGGTGAGAAAAGGTTAGCTTGGAAACAAAGTGGTGTTGACCGTGTTTCCCTGTGGCTTCATTTTCTATATAATGAGAGCAACTGCTAAGTTTTTAAATTACTTTTAATTAAAATTATATTCTTTTCAGCTTATGGATAGTAGTTATAGGGAGAAATGAGGAAGTAGAATCAGATTTTTGTGCAAAATCTGTCACTGAATAGTATGTAACATCTTTCTTAAAAGAATAGCTTATAATTGTTCTATGTAAATATAAAGCAAAACGTAAGTTATTTTCTCTGAGTATGCATATTGTAATGACTCTATTGGATTACTTTCACAGACCAGCAAAGCAAAATTAAAAATAAACATATGTAAGTGACATAGGCCACTAGTATACGTCTGGTCAGTACTAGTGGGGGATCCCCAATACCCTGGCATTTCTATTGAGGGCTGGGCCCCTCTCCTGCATAAATGTTCCTGTTCATTCAGAGAAAGATTATTTTTTAAAAGCAGTACTGAGGAAAAAGTAAGGACAGATAATCAAAGCAAGGATATTGGATATAGGATTAAGTTAAAGGATTTCTTCATTCATCTCATACATTTGATGGCATGCCAAGGAATGTTCAAGGTGCTGTGGATATAGCAGCAAACACCATAGGCAAAGCCCCTCCTTTCATGTAGCTTCTATTTTGGTCTGTTGGGGAGTGGAGGAATAAACAATAAATACATGTCAGATGGTGGTAAATACTGTGGGGAAGAATAAAGCTGGGTAAGTGTTTGGGAGGTGAGGGAGAGTAATGTTTTAAAAGAGGGCAATAAGGAATATCTTTACCGAGAAAGTGATATTTGAGCAGAGGCATTTTTGGAGCAGAGATCTGGGACAAAGTGCCCCAGTAAATGCCAATGTCAATATGGACAGAATTCATCAGGGTCCAGTGAGAACTTGTTATATGCTTGGTAGTATGCTGAGTATTGTGGAGGTTAAAGAAGTACAGATGTTACAGAAAGAACAGTATGACCAAGGGGTTATGTGCTCATAAACATGTGGGCCCTAGAACTGGGTCATCTGGGTGACTCAGCTGTTACCAGTTGGGTGACCTCAGCAAGTCTCTCAACATCTCACGTCTCAGCTCCCTGAACTGTAGGTTGGGTACAATAATAGCAGTACCAACTCCTTGGAGTTGCCAGGGTAGCTAATGAGTTGATATACAGAACCTGCTTAGAAAGCATCTGGTGCTCGTTACTGCTAGCTGTGAATATCTTGGTAACAACACTGGTCTCAGGACTCAAAGACTGTCTTCCATCATTTCTGGTAACATCCTTATTAAGGTGAAGTTTAACAGCAGATCACAAACCCTTTATTTAAGGCATTTCTGATCATGATACCATTAGGAAATTTATAATTTTCTGACATTCTAGTTTCTCAATAACAGTAGTTCTCAACCAGAGGTGACGCTGCCCCACAAGGGACATGTGGCAACGTCCAAAGACATTTCTGGTTGTCACACTTTGCAGAGGGGACATTTCTGGCACCTAGTGGGGAAGGGCCTGGAATGCTGCTAAACTTACAATGACCAGGAAAGCCCTCCTTTAACTAATACATGATTAATACATGAAGGACAAAGAGCTGAAGATTCAAATAAATTTCTCTTACGCCTTCATTCAATTACATTTAGCCTCACTCAAATGGGACACCAGCAGGCCAAGTGTTATAACTGCAGT